TTCTTACTAAAATGATGTCAGTTATTTTCACTCACTTTAGCTAAATAGTTATACTTACTTTTATACAATTAGTTAAAACCCCAAACTAACAGTGTGATGTTAAAACTCATTCATAATTAGTATAATTGTGTTTATCTTTTCTTTGGAGTAATGTGCTTTTAAACTGTTTAAGTTGAGGTCGCTCATTTCAAACAAAAAAATAACCCCTCCCTTTTGCTTTTCCTACGTCATCACTGAGCCTTGCACACGGAGATGCTAACACAGCTCTGGGTGCTATGCTACCGACAACAGCAGCAGCGCCAGCGGCCATTAGAGGCATTTTTCGGCACGGAGGAGAGTTTTAACCACATTGCCAGAATTACAAGGTAACTGTGTTTTTGTTTAAATGCTTGAACAGACGTTGCAGGTTAATCAGACTACTTAGCTGATGTGTAGAAAAACGGAGCTTGCTAGCTCAACTCGAGACTGATTGTTTGAAGCCCGCCTTAAATTTGAATGTTTTTGGTAGTTGTTACTACCTACATTTTCAAAGCTACATCGCACAGAACTTAACTATATTATCTTTAAGAGTAAAATAACGTTTTTTTTAATTCCAATCTGAACTTTCTAGTCCTCGTGTTTTCTTAACACAGCCTACATGGTTCCTTTGAGATGCCCGCCTGTACAAATCTAAAAAGTAACGGTTAGAGTTATATTTTAGTTTAGTTTAACCTACCCTTTCACTGAACTTAACTTCATATTACTTTAAATTGTAAAATAAAGTGTATTAATTTCTATCTTAACGTTCTAGTTCTCGTGTTCTTTACATGGTTCATTTAAGATACCCGCCTGTATTGATTTAAAATATAACGGTTGGTGGCTTATTTTAGTTAGATGGTTGTTGCTAGTCTATCTTTTTAAAGCTTCACACAGTAAAGTAAGTTTAGACATTTATAGCGTAACTTTTTCTAGTCCTTATGTACGATTCATTTTAGAGTATACGACAAGACCGCTGGTAAAAAATTTAAATATAACCATGGGCGCCATTTTAGTATAAACTAAGTGCTGAAACTTTTTCCAAAATTAATGACATAAAACTTAACGTTTAAATTATTGTTAGTAATTTCTGACTGCACTTTGTAACATTCAAGGATTTTTTACACCACATGTGTGAAAAGGGTAGATTAATTTAATTCTAACTGTAATAAAAGTAGCCGTGGGCAGCACGGGCAGAATATCTTGCCCTCCGGTCAGAACCTGAACACACCACCAGTAGGCAACGACTTATAAAAGACACACTTTATTGCACAATCAATAATAAAACACAACGATAAAACACCATGGCCCAAGCCCTCTCTTCTAAAACCAACTGTCCAGCATGAGTCACATAAGCAGCGGTACTTAGCTGTCACGGATGGTGTGACCCCCGTCCCCGGGGTCTGAGCTTCCAACGCCGTCCAACGCCCCGGGGTGTAGCTTGCGAGGACGGCGGGTAAATCCACAACATAAGTCCACTGCCAGAGTCCGTAGCGGCAGATGTCGGCGCGGCCTTGGCATCACCTATGCCCAGCCCTAACTGTCTAAAGAAGGCGACCAGCCTTCCCTCCTGGCGCTGGAACACTAAACACCTGTTCAGCTATCTTCGTCGCCAGCCCTACCCGGCTGCGAACGACCCCACCCCCCAAAGTCCGATGCCACAATGACAGGTCGACCACGCACCTCTCTCAGTAGGTCTGTCACCCTTTTATCCTCCCTGGCCTCGTTATCCATAACGAGGACCAGCTGGTGTCCAATCACCACACCCTCGGAGCTCGGCAGCTTCCGTCTTCTGTCCATCACATAACATTAAGCAAGACTATTTTATCATTTACTCAATAAACTGTTTTTTGAAACTCCTGCCATTCAACTTCAGCATATTTTGTTGTAGTCTTGTCTTGCTGGCTTTCTGTTCACTTGCCAAAATACATTAACATTTTTGTTTTCTGTGACATTACAGTGTTTTGACTGAAGAAGCTGCGCACAAGGAGAGATCATCCACTGCTTTTCATCACCTAAAAACGGCCAGTAAAGGTGATATAAAACACTTGACATCTTATTGGGGACCCTTTGATTTATGACAAAATGTGGAATTGCAAGTTGTGTAGTTTTTCTACTGCGATAAAAGTCATGTTGCTGAAACATTACCGGCTTAACCATGGCCAGTACTCCACAATTTCACCTTTACCCTGTCTCTACACCACCTGCATGTGTACATTTAGTACATTAAAGGTACATATGTCAAGAATACATACTGCTAGGGCTGCAACAAACGATTATTTGGATAATCGATTAATCGGATGGGGTCTCGACACGATTAATCGATTAATCGGATTACATGGGGAAATTTTTAAAAACTGCTAGGGAAACGTTATTTCTCTCCTTCCTTCACTTTATTTAACACAACATTATTAGAAAACAGTTCAATAGCAGAAAAACAACATGCCATCACCTAAATTGTCTTATAAGGTGTATAGACAGAGACCCTAAGCTACATCTATCTGTGACCTAAAATGCTTGGTCCAAGTTAAACAGCTTAAGGGCAATTCTCATCTGTTTTGTTTGATCTCATCTGTTAACATTTATTTTAAATGTAATTAAACATAGGCTGTGAATTAATCAAAATTGATCACTATTTCCAAAACTGACTGAAAAAATATCAAATAAAACAAAAGTAAATGAATGCCATCCTCCTTGCGATGATGCCCTGGGCAACTGCCATAAAGTCACATCAAGAAATGCTGCTGATCATTCCAATGATCCCAAATAGACTCACATTAGGCCACATGAAAGCAACTGAACCCAAAAATATATTAACCAGTATATAACTGCACTCTCACACAACACGCCTGCAGCAACAGTTAGGACTCCTCCCTCCCTTTTAAAAGCGTTTTTGTTTCTGAGGACATTGTGGTTGTAAAACCACATGCTAGTAGTCTGGCCCCGGTGTGATCAACCAGTTTCTGCGGGAATGTGACGGCGGAACCAGGGCCAGATTAACACTTTGTTGTACCCTGGGCAACAATATTCAAGGGCTCCATCATCACGACCCAAGGATCACCATAATGTGGTCACATACAGAATATTTTACTGTAATATGCAGTAAATATACTCAATACTTGAATGCCTGACAACACGTAACCCGCCCAGAGTAACCTTTGACCCACCTCGTGTGGACTGACCAATGAGGAGAGGGTCTTAACTTGAGGCCCTCTCTTCATTGGTCAGTCTGCATGAGACTGACTCTCAACTGACATTCAGTCGTAGGCAGCGAAGCGTCTCTGTGCAGCGCAAAAGCCCGGGTGGACAGTTTGTTTAATATAGGGTGACCATATTTCCATTTCCAAACAAGAGGACAGGGGATCTGTGCCTATGACGTCACACTATGGCAACGCCACACAAACCATGTTGGGACCCATTTTTTGTAAGAACTAAATTAATATCAGATTCTGCCAATTAAAGGGCTCTAAAACTATTCATATGTAAATATTTTGCATATTTAATGCAAAATCTAATTTTTCTGCTTTAGTGCTGCAACAAGGTTTTATTAATAATAAATTATTATACCTTTTGTTTTACTACAGCATCGGTAAGCTTCCTGTGCACAGATTATTAAGGATGCTTGTTTCAGCTGTGAGATTAGACGATAGGATCAATGAAAAAATAAGTTGTCACACACTCCATGGAAACTTTCAGAGAATCCACAAATAGTGGCTTTCAAATGGTTTTGTTACTTTTTGCAAGTTTTTAAAAGAAGCAGATGAGACAGCATGTCTGATAATTTAGTTCTTCATCTGATAATATTAGAACATGTCAGTAATGTCTGAGGGGCTTTTATAAACACTGTATAACTAACACTCCTGGAGAGGGCATGGATTACACAGAGGCTTCTGGGGAGCCCAGTTATGGGGGGGGGGGGGGGGGGGGGGCATTTTGCCTTGGCCCCCAAAATGTCTTGAAACGGCCCTGGGTGTGTGACTGAGTTTTGAAGGTGATCTGAATTGTATCAGATGTATAAATATGACATGTGTATAACTTATTGTTTTTTACAGGTAAAAACGTGTCGTGGAGATAAATCTACCTACATTTGACTTTTCAACACTTTGTTTTGTTTTCTTGTTTTTATTTAACTATTTTCCTGTCCTGTCTGTCTCTCATCTTCCTGCATCTCCTCATAATTCTCCAGAAAATCTGTTGCCTGGATTCTTACCTTTTCACCTCATCAGTTACTTTTGAGCAGATCAAAGGGATCTCCTGACCGAAAAGCGCAGAGCGCGTTTTCGATGCTGCGTGAGGTGACATCACCACAGCACAGGTGATGAGCTCCGCAGTAGCGAGCTTCAGGCACAAATAAGACAGAAAATAGAGAACATGTGCGGACATGAACGATCGTGTGCTAATTATAGTTTTTTGGTTGCGCCACTTTGAGAATGGACCGTGCGCTGGAAGCAGCTGCCTGGATCGCTGCGCGACAATGCGGAACCGGTTCGCAGCAGCGCAAGTCTGCCGGCTCTCCCTCGCGCTGATCTGCGGCTCTCCCTCGCGCTGATCTGCGGCTCTCCCTCACGCTGATCTGCCGGCTCTCCCTCGCGCTGATCTGCGGCTCTCCCTCGCGCTGATCTGCCGGCTCTCCCTCGCGCTGATCTGACTTGCTCTGGTCTGCGCGCAACGGCGGGCGGGAAGGGGGGGGGGGGGGGGGGGCGCTTTTGGAAGAGTTGTGCGACACAACGAATCGATGACGCAATTCGTTGCCAACGCTTTTAGTAATCGATTTTCATCGAATTTATCGATTCGTTGTTGCAGCCCTACATACTGCTACACAAAGAAAAGACCATTCAAATCCAGCTTTTAATAATTATGGATTTTGCTGCCCTGTGTGTAACTTTAAGCAGCCATTTATTGAAAGGCAAATGTTTATCCATCTGAGGGGGCATTTAAAACTGAAAGAAATTGTTCCATGTCCTTTTAAGGACTGCAATTTTAAAACCAATGTATACTCAACATTCAATGTGCACAAATGCTGAGAACACCAAAGTTCAGCACATTATGATGAAGGCATTGTGCAAAGTGTCCTAAATGTAGGCCAAAAGGATGTTATGCAGCTTGATTCAGTAGAACCATTAGATGAAAGTGAAGTGGCATCCACTAGTGAAATGAGTACAACTGACGGTTTAGAAGAGCAGTTGCAGCACAATCTAGCTGGCTTTTTCTTGAAAATGCAGAGCATTCTCCATGTGTCCCAGAGAGCAACACAGGAGATCATTGAGTAGGGCTGGGGGTAAACGATTATTTTTAAAACGATTATTCTGACGATTATTTTATCGAATAGTCGACTATTCTAATGACTATTTAGAAAATTAATCTAATGATTATTTTTCTATTGCACAATTAACAAAAACCAGAAAATCTCAAATAAATTCCTCAAAAAAATTGATAAATTCTTACTGTAAGAGAATAAACACTACAGGCCTTCCATTTTGTATAACACTGCTTTTATTGTGTTGCGGTTGGTTATGTTCTGGTGACGTGTAGAACTTGGGAGTGCAGGCTGCTGCCTGAGAGGTGGTAGAAGATGGAGTGTCTCCATGCTGCTTTGTTTTGGTCACTTATGTGCGTGAGGCGAGTGGTGTTACGGGTTAAACCAAACTCAGGTGATATTTTACACTAAACCGAAAACCCACAACACTCTAAATGTAATAAAAGGGAGATCTACACCACAAAAAAGATGAACTCTAAACCAAAACGTAACAGCTTATCCCAACGCAAGAAGCTGTTAGCGAAGATGCTAACAGTAGCTTTACCAACGTTAAGTTCAAGTTACCAAGTTTAAATAAACCAAAAACACCCAGCAGCAAACAGACCAGCACGGAGGAGAGACTGCTACCACCAAAACAGCTCTCCTCATGTCTGAAAGAAGCTCCTTAATGAAGGGAGAAGCGCTCCCGGTGATTTTCTACATCTGCTATAGACACGAAGCAGCGCATCTGACCCCGGAAGTTGTTGTCCGTTGCCGGGAGACGAAGGGGCAAAACAGGAAAATAATCTAGTAGTGGACGGACGTTGTTCCGGGTCTTCGGTATTTGGCGGAGATTTTAGTGAAGGCGGAGAAGAGGGCGAACTAGAGGAAAAACGGGCAGATTCCTCCTCTATTTACAAACTCCTGGGGATGCAACAAGTGGGCGCGGTGCGTCGACTTCCGGATCTGACGTCGACAAATTTTTAGAATCGAGCCGTCGACTTCGTCGAGGCTTCGCTACAGCCCTATCATTGAGCACATTGATCACCTGTTTTTGTTAACAGAACCTCTCATTAAAACATCAGTAGTTGATATACTGAAGAAGCATAACTGTCTATATACTGACAAACTGGTCGATGACATTTGTCAGGCAGTTTCTGATAGTAATGTTTTACATAAATGTATCACATCTGGTGGACCACTGTCAACAGCAAAGATGAGAAAATCTTACTATGAAGCAAACTTTCCGTATGTCAAGCCTGTGGAGTATTTAATTGAATCATCAAAGCACACATACATGTATGTGTCAATTCTTACATCTTTGCAAATGTTGTTGAAAAAAACCGAAGTCCTTGAAAAAGTTCAACAAACACCCACTCAGATACCTGGACATTTCATGTCATTTTGTGATGGATCCTACTACCGGGAAAATGTTCTACTCTCACAAGAGGGAACAAAACTTTCGATAATGCTTTATGTGGATGATTTTGAAATTGCAAACCCACTCGGTACTTCAAAGAAAATACATAAAGTTTTTGCAGTTTATTGGACACTGGCAAACTTTCCAGTTAAATCCCGTTCTGCTCTCCACTGCACTCAGCTTGCTCTCCTGTGCAACTCTAATGATGTGCGCCTGTTTGGGTTTAAGAAAATGATGTCACCACTCTTAAATGATCTGAAAACTCTTGAAGAAGTAGGCATCTACATTGATACCCTTGGTGAATGTCTTAAAGGCACTGTCTACTGTGTTGTGGCAGATAACCTTGCCGCACATGGGCTTGCTGGGTTCAATGAGAGCTTCAGGTCTACACATTTCTGCAGGTTTTGTCATGCCACACAAATAGAAATGCAGACAAAAAATGCAGTTACAGGGGATTATGTGCTGAGAACAAAGGATCTTCATGACAATCTTTTACGAGAGCTTCAGAGCGATGGCAGTGAGGGAAATTGTGGTGTCAAAAACAGTTGTGTTCTTTCTGACCATCTGTCATTCTTCCATCCTGTCACAGGCTTCCCACCTGACCTCCTGCACGACCTGTTTGAAGGCGTTGTTCCAGTGGAGATAGCTCATTGCTTAAAAGGTTTGATTTCCAGTAAATATTTTACATTAGAAGACTTAAATCGAGCAATATTGCACTTTCCATATCAACATTCTGACAAAGTTGATCGCCCTCATCCAATACCCACTAATTTTGCCAGTCGAGGGACCATTGGTGGGAATGCTCATGAAAATCATGCCCTGCTTATAATGTTGCCTCTTCTCATTGGCTCAAAAGTCCCAGAAAGAGACACGTTTTGGGAAGTGCTAATGGAGTTAAAGGATGTCGTTCAGCTTGCCATGTCTCAGATTTTTAATGAAGAGACCATTCAGTACTTGGCTTGTAAAATATTGGACCACCGGCAACTCTTCCAAGAAGTGTTTCCTAATGTTCGATTAAGGCCAAAGCATCATTACATCGAGCATTACCCACACTTGATAAAATGCTTTGGTCCCTTGGTCCACCTTTGGACAATGAGATTTGAGGGAAAGCATAAGGTTTTCAAAAAAATTATTCATGACACTCACAACTACAAAAATGTGTTAAAAACTTTGGCAGAGCGACATCAAAGTCAGATGGCATTTTATTTGTCATCCTCAAAGTTTTTCAAACCACATGTTCAGACATCCAAAATGGAGTCTATGTACATCTCATCACTACCTGCAGATACACAATCATTTATCTCAGGTATTGTTGACAGTGACACAGTTTATGGAACAAAAAATATCTCAATTGATGGCACAAGCTTTGCAATTGGCATGTTTGTATGTACTGGTGCTTATGCAGCCTTGCCAGAGTTCAAAGAGATTCGAAACATCCTACTCATCAGCGACAAAATGCATTTTCTCTTAAAAGACTACGACACTTTGTATGTTGAGCACTTGAGGTCATACGAACTAGTCGAGCATATACCGGAGAGTCATAGTGTCAAATCTGTGTGCCAGCTGTCTGACCACCTGCCACATTTTGCTTATAAGATTGCAAATGAACTAATTCTAACAACAAAACATTTCATTCCAGTGTCTGACTAAAGAAACAGAACTGAAATATCAGCGGATCTCCCCAGCCCTTCTGCCAGTGTACAGGTAATGCATACATGGCATGAGAACTCTGAGTGTGTTGAAATGTCGCTATATTATTTGAATCCTGTATGTTACAGGACCTACAACTTCAGATGGAGGCAACAGAGAGACTGAAGCTAAGGGTCATCCTTGATAATGATAATGCTGAAAGACTTATTCTGCCATCTCGCCCAAGCAGTGTTCAGGCCCTCATAGATGAAATCAAAACTAGGCTAAAGTTGACTTTTGACTTTAGGCTTCAGTTTGAAGATCCAGATTTTGATCATGCATTGTGTAATTTGGTTGAAATGGAACACCTCCCAAGCACAGCATCGGTTAAAATAATCAGATTAGTGGAGCTGGACTTGATTTCAACCAGCACTAGTGAGACAAGTCTTCTGAACGATAGCACTGATGCCATAGATTCACCAGAGCGTATTAGTCGGTGGCCAGAGGTTTTTATTGTTCCAAAATTTTCTTATGAGGTGGAACATGTGCTAAAGGAAGGTAATGCAGCATTTGAAAAAGATGGGAAACTAATTAGACTTCCTAGAGATCAAAAACACAACATACTCGAGGTAATGGGGGAAGAAAATTTTTAAACTGAAGGCATATCCTAGTAGCACACAGATTGGAAAGGCTGCAAAGGCTTTAGTTGAAAAGCATCCCTGTCTGAAGGAGAACAATTCTGACACTGGTTGGGAAGGATGGAAGAATAGTTTGAGACACAAAATAGGAAACCAAAGAAAGAAGTTGGCCAAAGCCGGCATCAGAGATGTTGCTGTAAACTCTGGAAAGCGCAGCAGAACAAACCCAGAAGGAGCTGCACCAAGAGCCAATAGTAAAAGACCTAAGAGAGGTGAGGTCAACTTCCTTCCCAGTTGTCCTTCTGGAGAAACAAGAGAGTCTCTGGAGAAAAGGAGGGTTGATGATAGAAGAGTTCCGGAAGACCTCTGCTGAAAGGGACATTCCACTCATTCATCAGCACATGATGCGCACTTTTTCCCTGAGACGTGAAGAGATCATTACATCTTCTCTTCCTGTATCAGAGCTTAAGGACAGATGGCCAGCTCTCTTTAATGAGACACATGTAAGTACAACTATATTAAATTTACTGCTTATAAAGTATACAGCATTTTTTTTCATATCATTTTTGGTTTATTCTCTTCAGCTCTACTGTGAATTTCACCGGATTACCAATCTTCATCTACCACATGTTTTTTATGCTGCACTGGATGAATATGCTCCTCGGCTGATTGGACTTTACAAAAAGAAGAAAACTGGACGGGTTGGTGAAAACATGGACCAGCTGTTGTTGGAATATGAGCAACAGGTACTTAAAAATACTTTCACTCTACTGTTTGCATGGTAGTCCCATTTGTCATGTTTTATATATTTTTTGTCCTTTAAGGACAAGAATGACATCTGCACAACAAGAACAGCAGCCCTGGCTGGCCTGCCGATTTACCTCAAGGAGGATTCTTCAGGCATTTTCAAAACATGCAAGGTATGTTATACTTGGGAATTGCAATAATTTTCCTATTGAAATGACAAAAAAGTGGTAATACATACAATTAAGGTATCTGGCTATTTGTATTTGTGTTGATTTTTATATCTATGACATAAATATTTCTCATCAATAATTTTGATGTGTGACAGGATGAAATGGAGTTCCATGAAGCTGCACTTGCGCTGGTTGCTGATGTGGGTGAAGAGGATGTGCCTGCTGGAGTTCCTTTCTCACCACGCCAAGTGTTCGTTGTTCTTGAAGATCAGGTTGTAATGACTCATTACAGATGGACTGATGCTTTGGTGTGTTTGTTTGGGCTAATATATGCTCTGCATCTCAGCTATCCTGTGAAGTGTAGTAGCTTTTTTGAGTTCATTCAAGTAGTGTTGCTGAAGCTAGACGATGAGAGAAAGCAACTCAGACCAAAATTGCAGACACTGAAAAATGAGCTGGTGTAGATGGGGTTTGTTTTTCACATGTTCTTGCTTGTTCATTAATCTTTGAATGGCTTCAAGTCAATAGTTTTATATGTCCATGTTCTCAGCCTTCTAAAACAGCAATATGCTGAAAGCTAATAAAGAAACATTTCAAATACTTGACATTTTTGTGATACACTTTTAAGGTAAACTGAGAGGCCACAAGTATCTTTGAAGATTTTTTTTACATATGTTTATATTGACTTCATCTATTGCATTCTTACAATATTCATAAACACTTGTCATTGTTCCTCTATGATATATTTGTATTTAGGTTCATGTCAGCAAGTTTCAAAGTTAAATAACTGATGATCAGTCCAAATTGACATTTGTAATCACTATGTTTTATTGTCAAATGACATCTTTCCATTTTGCCATTGAGGTTTGGCCACAGCAGTTGAGGACACTAATCTTTAAGCAAACTGTTGTACAATAACAGCGTTGAAATTTAATATTGTATTCCTACAGTATGTGTTAATAATGGCTGATGACATCCTTGTAGTTAAGCTTTGTTTGCATTTTCGTTAGGTGCATGTCAATAAATCTGGATATTCTTAATTAAAATTCAGGTCATGATGGTTAATGGCAACTAAAAATACTGGAATTATTCTCACGGAACATTTTATGTACACACAGTGGAAAAAAGCATTTAGCAAATTTGAAAAAATGTGCAGTTGTTATCTTTCTGTTTTTTCTGCAGTTCAAGTTAATAAAACTGAATGGAGAAAGTCCGAGTTTGTTGTTGTGTTAATACTACTAATACGGTTTGGTGCAATCGGTTTCCCCAGTTGAATTGAGTAACTTTAGTTATTCAACTAAGAACCATTCAAGTTAATTTAACTCAGTCGGATTATGAAAGAGGAATTTATTTTAAATAAGTTAAAATATATACGGCATTTTAGTGCCGCTTATTTAAAGGTTTAAGTTGACTATACTAAATAAAAATAGTTGATAAACATAACCATTTGAATTAACGTATCATAATTGTATTGAATTAATTAGACTCTACTCGCATAATTAAATAAACTCAAATAGTTTGAGTTACAAAACTTAAATCAATTTGTGCAATTGGTTTCCCCAAATCATTTGAGTTAGCTTAACTTATCAGGTTTTACAGTGTGGATGGAAACATCGTTTGAAAAACAAGCTAGCAATCTATCGCAGTCAGTTACGAAAACTTGGTTGTCATGAAGTAACTGTCAATGCACTGAGCCACAAGGAAAAGGCCCTGTCTTTGCCACTAAAAAGCCAAGACGATCTGAAGTGAACTACTGCCCTCCTTATCCAATAGGAGAGTCAGAGGAAAGCTTAGAAAAGCTTCGAGTACAGCTTCTATCAGATGTAAAAAAGAGAAACAATAAGGAAGTAGTGAGGCAGAAAATGGGCAAGACCTTCTCTTATAGAAGATTGGAGGTTGTTCGCGAAACACCCATGGTTCAAGATGTTCAGGAACGATGGCCGGCTCTCTTTAATATGTTGGAGGTAAATAAAATAGTTTATGTAAATTAAAGTTGTTTTATAAATGTTGACTGAAAATTTTGTCTTGGTTGTCCAGATAAATGCTGAGTTCAAGAGAATCACTACCCTGCCACTTCAGTCCCGGTTCCTTTCGCAGCTCGACATTCTGTCAGGATCTGGGGTGAGTCTGCACATTCCTCTAATCACCTTAAGTCATTGCAGGTGGGCGGCTCCGGAGAGCGGCCAGCTGCGATGATTTCCCTCATCTACTTCATGTGGTTAAAAGGAGCTGGAGATCACTTCACCTTGCCGGAAGATTACTCAACTTGGGTAGCTCTTGCCGCTATAGAAAACTACAGCTTTAGTCTAGCCTTATATTTGTCCGTCGTCATTGTTGGTTTTTGATGACCTCTGCCTTCCCTTCATCAGGAATTCTCACCACAAACCTTTCCTGCAATAACCTGGTTTTTCATCTCCAAGCCTGATCTCCCTCCTCACCCGGACCGACCCGCTCTCCCACCGCTCACCTCCCTTGGATTTTGGATTCACGCTGACGTTGCTCACCCCAGTCCTGGCTACCCTCCCAAGCTCTGGATTTCAGCCCCCACAGTAAGATCCACTACAAACTGAGTCCTGCAATTCTATTCCCCGCTGCCCAACACTGACAGTGTTTGTCTCAACAGACCCAGCCCCGGAGCTGTGCTCAACATCACCGCCACGTCTGGCGGTGCACCTTTAGTTCTCCTTAAAATAAAACATTTATTTTTTTCCTACCTACGTCTCCTAGTGTGAATTCTGCATGTCTTGGGTCAGGAAACTTCCCTCAGTCATGACACATTCTTTCTCCAAAACTGCTTGCACTCTACAAAAAAAGAGGTGGACAGAATGGCAAACGACTGCAAAGTATAATGGACCACATGACAGATGTGAGATTTGAAAATGCAATTCAAACTATCCTCGTTAAGAAAATGTACTAGTTAAAATTAAAACTGTCCCACATCCGATAGGAAGATGACGTTGACCTTGGATGTGAAAGGCCTTTGTGTGTACCTCAGTGAAGACCATGAGAACCTGATAAGAGAGTATGTGGTGAGTGCAGTGAAAGTGGTTCAATGACTGTAAAAATGCTAAACACCCAAAGAAGAACACTCATTTTTCACTCATGTACATTGACGGAAATAACAGCTCAGTGTGCATGGCTCTGGTGTTAATCAAATTTAATTGTTTCCTTTGCAACAATCTTCACAAGAAGGCAAAATAGGCAAATAGCAGAGTTCGCATTGACCGGATATTTCCCGTAATTTGATCGTTTATTATTTATTTATTTACTTTTTGGGTCGGAGAAACCTCAAGGCTGTTGGTTGTTTTGAAAGACACCCCGACGCACGTAGATACGCTGATAATTTAATCGTTACGCACATCGAGGAGGTAGCTAAATCAATAAAGAGAAGATTCCCATCAACATCTGAGCATTATACTAGACACTGCTTAGCACAGCTTGCTAGCTAGGATGCATGTAAGGCGGACAGCGAGCCGAAGATGTGGAGGGGGGCTTGGAGTGAGTCCGTTAAAGGCAGCAGCAGACCCAGAGTGCATATGGGAAGATCCCTCTCACTGATGCTAGTGTTTTCCAAACCCTGTCTCTCAGAGACTTGTCACTTACAGAATGTTCCCTGATTATGAAACTTTGGCTGAATAGCGCTTGTTCCTGTCTCCAATGTGGCGACGCATCCATGAGCCTGCCTGAGGCAATCAAAAGAAAATTGCACGTTGTAAATTCTGGTGATGGCATAATGCATGAGCCCAAAAATCAAACTTCCAGCACCAGAAAGTCTCTGCATTAGTTGGAAACAAGACATGCCCCCTTTTTGAAATCCATCCTGTAGCAGGACTCATTGACCTCCTCTCACATTCAGAGAAAAGTTCAGAAAAAGTTGAAAAAAAAACCCCAGAATAATCTGACTCCACCACAAAGTCCACATCAGACAGTTTCTCCAAGAGTTTCAGGCGGCAGGATCAAATAAAGAACGAGTTACGTCCTTATCTTGCTCCTTCGTTGTAGTTGAACAGAACTGAATTGACCAGATAATCAAACTACAATGGTTTGTAGTTTAATTTTAACCACATTAAAATTAAACCAGTTGACCTGATGAGGTCAGCCAAAGCATCCACGAAGAATGTCCACAAAGAATGGTCCGGCCTGCGGGCCATTTATTGAGGACGGCTGCTTTATACTGGGTGGGTCCAAGTCAGCCTTGATGTAAACGCAGCAATATTTCAACTAACTTTTGACCCTGCAGCATTATAGTAATACACAGCATTGCCCTATTCAAGCAGCAAATTAATGTACAGAAATATAATTTTGCTTGCCAGTAAAAATTGAGCAGACTTCCATCTGAACAGCTTATGTTGATACTAACAAGTAGTGATGAGCGAGTACACCACTGTCTGTATCTGTATCTGTTCAACCATTTAAATTATCTGTATCCGTGTCTGTACTCGGAATGGGCGTGGTTTACATCATCATATTATTTTAAGTCTGAAATTGATATGGAATGATCAGAAGTTGATATGTGTATTGTTCATTTGAAAACTATTTACAGAGCAGCCTCAGAATTGAGATTAAATATTTTTGATCACAACAGTAAAGGAACTGTTACAGAACAAGTGGAACTCATGCAGTAGGAACTAGGAAATATGAAATGCTAGAACCAGACACAAATTTATGTATATATTTTTTTCATTTTAATTTGATTAAACTGATTTTTTTCTTAACGTTCTTGGCATTTTCCCACACAAAGTTAAACAAAACAATGTTGATTAAGGTGTGCTTGTCTGAGAGAGATAGAGAGGGTGAGAGGGAACGAGATGGAGTTAAAAAAATAAAAAACCCGACCGGAGCGGAGGTAGTGAGTCACATGATGGAGTATGAAGCTTTGAGTAAACTCTTCTCTGACAAGTGAAGGTAAAGAGGAAGCGTTTCTATGATGTAGCTTCAGATTAACGATTATGTGGTACAAGATATATGATGATGACTAGTGGGCGTCTGTGTGTGCGCCCGTGC